CCCAAAGTTGACCTTCAATCTTCACTATTCCTCGATCATCTCTAAGGTGAATCGTAAACTGCGATTTATTTCGAAGATTGTACAAGATTTCAAAGACCCTCACTGCTTGAAGGCACTATATTGCTCTTTAGCTCAACCCATACTTGAGAATGCATCCGTGGTCTGGTCTCCATATGAGCTAGTGTGGAATCTCCGAATAGAACGTGATCAGAAGAGATTTTTGAAGTTGGCTTTGGTCAGCCTATCGTGGCGCGATCCAATGAATTTACCACCTTATGCAGACCGATGCATGCTATTGGACCTGGACGCATTGGAACACAGAAGAAAAATTCAACAAGCCTTATTTGTAGCGAAACTTTTAAATGGCGATGTGGACTGCCCTCAACTGCTTTCCAAATTAAACTTCCGTGTTCGTCAAAGAATGTTGCGGCAACCATCCTTCCTACAACCAAGATTCCATCGGACTGCATATGGATACCATGAGCCAATGTCTGCGATGATTCGGGCGTTCTCCGCTGTTGAAGTAGCATTTGAATTCGGAGAAACATACGACAAATTGGCCAGAATACCCTAGGGATTGTCCGAAATCCCTTTTGGGATTGTTTGAAATCCCCCTGAACTGTCATGAATCCCCCTCAATATTAACTGAAAGCATCCCTGGGATTGTCCGGAATCTCTCCTGGGATAGTCCCCTTTGATATTGCTGGGAAGCCGCACTGTCTGAATCCCCCCTTGGCTTGTTCGGAATATCTTCTGAGACTGTCATAAATCCTCTTTGCGATTGAGTGGAATCCTCCCTGGGTTTGTCCAGAATTCCCCCTGGGACTGTCATGAATCCTCCTTGGGATTGTCCATCAGAATCCGGACTATGCGGTTGCTTATATTTGCAGTACCCGAACTTCATCTGCATGGCAGTAAAGCAAAACCTCTCCGGCTGTTCCGTATGGTCACCATCGAGTTTGAGAGGGCAGATTGTAGTTGCTTTCGTACGCGTACTATACGAAAGTGCAATTACCCTTCGATTGCCAAAATACCGTTGTTAAAATACGAAAATTTGCTTTGCTTACAATATCGGGTTCAACACAATAAACAGGTTGCTATATGTATATGGTCTTGAGCAACGTGAGTTCCTCAGAGCTACTCAAAACTAATTCCGATTTTACTCATGATCAAAAGCCAAGGGGTGCGACACATCTAAACCTAAGTTTTAGATGGTTCGAAAAATTTGTTGCTAGCGAATCAATCTACAACAAATCTTTTTTAATCTTTAACATCTTTATCCATCTACTCCCATCGGTCTCTACCTTTTTGCAGCAAATCTTCAAAATAATCATCAATCGTATTTCCTATCTATTAAGCGTTTGGGCATCTCACAAAAGCAAAGCAAAAAATTTCCTGCATCTTAGATAGAGTCGCCCCCCTCGTCAAAAACTGTCTTGTCCCTAGGTTCAGCCTCGTGACTCCGAGCTGTGAAGGCAGTACTGGAGAGCTATAAAAGCTTTATGAGTCAGCTTCAAGGACCTTAATGGTCTGCTCCACACAGAAAAAAATTCTGAATTTTAACTAACGCGTGAAATCTCCCTTCGTTTAATATTGAGCTATACTTGGCATAAACAGCGAAATCTTTTGTAAGCTTGCATACAATATTGCTAATATATGTGATTTTGCGCTTAAATTTACACGAAATATCGCGTAAATTTATGTCAAATCTAGCGTTAATTTCATGTGCGCTATATCTCGCAGAAATTTACATGAATTTTTCGAACGGTGCAGGGGTTAACTTAACAGGGGTCCGAATTTATGGACGTGTCCGGATTTCGGTGCATTACGGTAGGTTCTGTGATCTTTTGAGTCAACTAAAGAATTTTCTTGAATCTTTCTCATAGGGCTTGGGGACTTTAACAAACTTCAGATACGTTAAAGCTATCTTTCGAACGTCTTAGGACTTAACTTTGAAGGGCTTGCGGGATTTCTATAGAAGGCTGATGTTTTTATTAAATAAACCAGATGATGAAATATCAGAGGCTGAAACGAGTGGGCTATTTTAGAGGCTTTGCAGCTTAATCAAGATATTGGTGCAATTTGCAATTTGAATTTCGGAGGCACTTCCTTTCGATTCATTTGGTCAACAAATGATCAAATGTTGAAGATCATAATGATTTGTGATTATCCGGAGCTCTTGAAAGGGTATCTGAAGGATGTCATTTGATTGTTGGACCTATCATCAGCATGATTTATGATCAACCTGATTATTTGAGATAACATCTGAAGGACGTCATTTAGGTTTTTGACTTAATGTAGATCATCAGAATAATTTTGCGTGCGAGTTGAGCCAATGTAGTGTAAACAGGTGAGGCAAGTGAATTTGTCGTCTCTTTCGTTCTTCCGCGGTTTAAATGACTGACGGAGTGTGACGTCTTCTTTTTCTTCGTAATTCCTTTATTTAAATTCAGTCTCTGTTCCGCAAATGAGTGCCAATCACCGACACATTGACGGCAATCGAATGCAAGGGATGCGGCTTCCAGAAAAATCCTAACTACCTCGGATGGGATTGAAACCAGACACACCGGGGTGAGAAAGCAGTCACCGCAGGGCAGTCTATATGCCGTCAAACTCCGTCGTCCAATTAAACAGCGGGAGAACGAAAAAAGACACACAAAATTGGAGTTGAGCAAGTAACTGAAACGGTCGCATTCGAGTCGTCCGCTGTGGGTTTAAGTTTTGTATTGCTTGCTCTTTTGTTCGACTGCTTTTGAGTTTAGTTTTACCTCGGTCGCGCGTGATCTATTGCTCGGTTGGTGCGGTGGGTAGGGTTAAATATGTGCGTTGAGGGAGGCTTTTGTTCACGCGAGTAAGATGTGATTTGAAAAAGAAGCTAAGAGTATAGTATGTAGATATGTTTTGCAAATTGTGAGCTTTTTCGCGTTAACACAAGATATTTTCTGTAAAATGTATTGGTTGGCCATTAAATATATAAACTGTGATGAAATATCAGAGGCTGAAAAGTGTGGGCTATTTAAGAGGCTTTGCAGCTAAGGCAAGAGCCTCAATAATCACCTTCAGCGACGTTATGAGTCAACTCTCTTGGATTTATGTGTTGGTCTTGATGACCATACGGGTAGACAACAAAGGTGATACACGTTAACTTCCGTGGCCTTAGGGCTAAAATTTTAAGGTTTTCAGAGATCTTTTGATTTCGCGAACCGCAGTTAGTTGGACTTCACATAAAAGGTTCCCGAAATTTAGACAATAATTCAAGTTCATCGATGTTTTCTCACGAACTCTCAGGATATAGCTATCAATACATTTCCAATACCCATGAAACCTCAGGATTTAACATTTGATTAGATGTGTGATCAATCAACTAGTTACATTTTCGTGACATCTCATGTCTCATGAACATCATAGAACAAGTCCAGTAAATAATCGAAAAATCCTGAGCAACATTTCCGCTTTAATTATGGACTTCAATGCCATTCTAAGGCTTAGAAACTGTTTCTGCAAAACCATGATAAAACCAAACATGATACTTGGGATATCTCAACGAATTTGGGTACAGTCCAAAGTGTCAACAGTCAAATAAGAAGGGCACAAATATCTCCAATCAGAGCGCAGAGGATCACTTCACCAGTCCACAAGACCTCTTTAACGTATCCATAAAAAAGCCAATGGCACGGAAATCCAAAAATAATTTTAAAGAGTTCATAGCTCACCGTGGATCATTCTGGAAGGCTTCCGAGAACAATCTGGAATCTTAAAAAAAATCAATAGCCGGAGACGACCCCAAAAGCATATTTACAGATGTGTTGGGACAGATTGGCACAGATGTGTTGGGATTTGACCAGGAAAAAAGGCCACAGTTAGCCTTTTCAGAGCACAAGAGCTCTTAACTACAAAATTGAGTCATAATAGATGCGAAATTCAGCTCAATAAAACGTACTTTCGAAGTTTTCAGTCTCGGAGCACTTAATTTTACATGACATGTCGGTTTACGTTTCATTCTTTATGTCAAAAATGGATTCCGTCACGTTTAAGATTAGGTATTTCTAAGTGTGTAGTGTCCAAAGTGGAACTATCATAGTTCTCCTCTAGATTCTAGACCTTAGAGATTCCCTCGTAGAATCTCAACACACATTGGATGCGGTATAAGACTTAGGAACCCAACCCAATTGGATGCTGAATAAGAGCTTATTCAGGCCCAAATATGCGTGTTCAGTTTAAAAAATTCTATTAAGCTTTTAATCCACTCAAATTGTTTGTTGGGAGTTTCACAATTTGAATGTAACGCGTGATAAATATCTGACATCCAAATTCGTGCAACTCTTCACACATATAAGACACTTGTTATAAATTCTTTACAAGACGTTGTGATTTTACGAATTGGTAAAAACATTTCATAACTGATTTCAAGGAGGTTCCTTGCACGCGAAACAATTTTAATAAAATTTAAAAGCGATTGTCCATATATTGCGTGAGTTGTTAAGGGGGGAAAAAGGTCAGCACATATCCACGGCTCATAATTTTTTTTGAAAATTTGTATGGTTGATTGTCCACGTCGATCCCCCAATTCTATTCATTGAATTCATCGGAATACATTTCTCATGAACATAGTTATGGTTTTGATCTAAAAACCAGCTTTAGAGTGTTTTTTTTTAATGATCTAAGTCGTCCTTCTTATTAAATGATTCATATTAGAGAATCGATTGAAATGCTCCCTTCCTGTGCTAATTAAACAAGAGTATAATGAGTGGTAGAGTTGATAAGCTAACAGTCAATTATCGACATTTAATTGATAGAGGGCAGACTGCTTACCCCAGTTGTTTGATAGGTATTTTCGACAACTGAAATGGCATCATTCTCAGGGATTCATTCAACAGTACAGGCATTAATCAATTCCCCAACAACTTAACCTACAACCAGCGCAGTTCGAATCAGCCGTGCGCTCCCGGCCCGCTGGCTAATTGATACCCCTTGAAACCGTCCGAAATTGGGTCACTAACCTTCAAGATGTTGGTGCTTGTTTCGTCTTCCTCTGGCTACGATTTAGTAGCGTTCGCCAAATACTGTTTCACTCGCCAAAAACCCTGCAGTTAATCCACTATGTATTTTCCGGCTGGAGAAAATTCATCAGATCAGTTTTCGATGTATTCCAACAACTCTGCCGCACAAGAACCGCAGCGCAATGACGGAGCAGAACGGCGTCCAATTTCTTCCTTCACCGATTCCGGTTTTCTTCGTCGACTTCACACCGTCACCGATTGAGAGCGGCTAGCGCATATACTTTTCTTTTTATTCTGTATTCTTGTGTGTACGTGTACCAGGCACTGTCTTCCAGTAAGAACGTTACCACCCACGGGGGCCTCTTTCTTGGAAGTTCCAATTCTCTTCGGTTTGCTCACCTCTCCGCCGATTAGGTCACCCCTCGTTGGAGTTGTTTTTCTCGCGAAATCGCGTCACTTACTAGTTTCACTCGATGGCTTTTCCAACACTCGACAACAACAAAGTAGGCCCTTTTGGGGTCAATCAATTTCGGAGCTAGGTCACTCAACCGAGACGTCGCCTACTTTTTGTTTTTGTGTGTATTGAAAGAAGAATTTGTCTTCAAGGCGTAGCGACGAACCTTGGAGTTGGGTTGCTTCGATTCACCAACACTGTTCAGAAAAAAAACACAGCGACACACTCTCGTCGTCGTCGTCGTCTTCGTAGAAAGAAAGGAGAAAAATGAGATTGGTCAAGAGGAATTTCTTGTACAATCCTTCCTTCGGGAACGCAAAATCAATTTCAGCTTCTTCGCTCTTTCGTTTCTTTCCTCCAATACAAATCACCTTTTTCGTCGTATTCCGTCGAATGGTGATGGTGGTAGTAATCAAGAAATGACCGTAATTTCAATTTTTCGCTCGTTTTTGCACAAAGCTGTCATTAATTCGATTGTGCCACCTTAATCACACACTTTTTTCATTACAAGCGGATATGTTTTGATTAGCACTTAAAACTGCATAAAATTATTCACATTCTTTTGTTGTTGTTTTGTTTTGTTGTCACAAAAACAATGGATTTAACCTTCAATTTCAAACTTCATTCAGCTCTCGTTGGCTGTCAGAGTTTTCCACCATTCTGAAAAACCATACACACTGAGCACAAATAAAAAAAAACACCTCACACCACCAACGAGAACGTAAAATATCTCTCCGTTCGTTGATTTGTTCTGCACTTCTAGCTGTCAAAAAAAAAATCCGTAATCGCACGAGAGAGCGGAAAAGAACGCTTCCTCAAACTTCTGATCGCTTATTGTTATCGCTTGTTGGCCATCATCGGGAATTACCGCAGCTAATAGGGGGGGTCTTTAATTAGCTCAAGAAGACGGATCCACCACACAGGTCACTTTCACACAGAGACGGACGGACGGACGGGCAGCCTCTGCCTGACAGCGAAGCGAAATCTCTACTGACTGAGCAAACGGAACGAAGTTGGCGCAGATCTGAGCAGTAGCCATGTTGGTTGGGTGGTTGGATGGTGATCTCGCGCATGATCGCGAATACCTGCCGATCGGGCTTCTCGAAGAGAATGAGATAGAGAGAGAGAGCGTGTGTTGTGTGCGTTCACATGGTGGTGGTTGTGAGAGCGATGTTCGAAAACATGGCCCAGCTGGGTGGTTGGAGGAGATCTATTGGCAATTGTTTGGATAATTTATCACTGAAAATCGGTATGAATGAAACAAATGGAAGGCTTGGGGTTATTCTGTTCGATAAATGTATGTTTTGAAATGAATAACCAACGGATTTTCCGATAAAATCAAACTTTCGGAGTAACTAACAACTTTTTTTTCTCAACTAATGAGTACCTTTGGCCAAAGTTATTGCTTTTATCGTAAGACAAGTATTGCATTATACGAATACAGTTGCACTGTTTAATGGTTTTCGCTGTGAGATCCTTATTCTCGTAACTAAATTGAAACTTTTGGCGAAAATTGATTGGAGGATTTTCTTGCTCAAATTTTTCAATAGATATTCGCGATCAATCATAAAAATTCGAGATGTTTTTTGCATTTTTCTAGCGTCCTGGAGAAAAGCTTACCTTAATTCGAAGTGTTTCTGGCTAATGGTGGTATTCGCTCATTCCGAGGATTTGTATGTACCACTTCAATACTGCTACGCATTTGATCACAACCATTTGGTTGCTGGATACATGAACAAAGAGCTTTAGAGATGATATGGCTGACAGCAAGGCGAGCGAACGTTCAATGAAAATTAACTCTTAAACAACAAAAATTTAGGGTGGTCCTGAAAAGAACCGTTTTGTCGTGATTGTTGAGTAATGCTGAGCTATCAGGGTGTTCCACATGATGTTGATTGGGACGAGGCTGATGCGCTTGCCATTGATGGCCCACAGCGACTCATGAGGAGCTACTGAATCCGATCAGTAGTAATAATAGTAAGATTACGTTAAATTCTGTTAATTATGATTTTACATTGATTTCACATTTCAATTGATTAGCCTGTCAGGTTGTTCATCTTTGGTTAATTTGTTATTCTAATTAACGTGTTTACGTTTTTAGCTAGTTTGATACCCCTTTGGGGTTCATTTTGGTTGAATTGAAAAAAGAATTTGATAACCTACCTAACTACGAATAATTTAACCTAATTAGCAAGATCGCGTATGATCTGGTGATTTGATCTCAGACAGGCGTCTCTGAACCTATCGAGGCTGAGCGTACTCCATTCCTCTAGTGTCTCAAGACCAGCCTGGCGGTGGAACTCTGAATTTCGAGTCCGTCGGAGACCGTCGAGGGTCATCCTAAGGATCTTCTTCTGGATCCTTTGAAGGTTACGGAGATTGACGTTCCGTACTCAATGACGGGGAGGATGATTTGCTTGTGGACGGCAATCTTGTTTTTAAGGAAAAGGGTGGACGTTCTGTTGATAAGTAGATATAGCGACCTAATCAAAATGTTGCACTTGGTGGATGTTTTGTCCACATTGGGTCGGAACCAGCGTTGCCAGATTGTTTTAAAGTTTATTGGTATTGAAGGTATTAAAAATCGGTATTTATCGGTATTTACTATTTAATTCATTTTATATTTTTGCCGTTTTTGAAATTGAAAATTTTAACGATGATGATGACTAGGACTTGAGGGGAATTACTTTGTTTAATGGCTGTCTCAGCCTTAAACCAGTCTTTATTTTTTTAAATTTAATTTAAAAATTATCGTTTTCCTCAAGTCGTGATCAAAACTGCGAGAAAGTAATTTTTTTTCAATTATATATCATTCAATGAAACCACAATATGGAAAATCAGCCACAACAACGACTAAACTATTGACAATAATACAATAGATTTTGTACAATCATCGGAAAATTCCGGAAGAAAACTCCGGGGAATGTTTGAATTAGCTCCTGAACGAAGCCGAAAAAACATCCAGAGAAAGACGAAAGAAGCTCTTCTGGATGAAGTTAGAGGAAAGTTCTAAGTAAAGTTGGAAAAACATCCAGGAAACTTCCAACACATGAATTGAGAATCTTGTGGCGAAAATTTAAATAAACTATCGAAAAAAAATCGGATGTCACATCTCACGGAAGCCAGAAAAGTTTCGGAAACCGGAAGTAAATTTTCAGACGTAGCCATTTCCAGGGAAAACCAGAAGAAGCTCGGAAAAACCTTCCAATAGAAGTCGAACAAAAAAAAAACCTTTGGCTTATGGTCAAACTTCTAGACGAAGACGAAATAAATTTCTGGGAGAATTAATTGAACTTCCTGGAGAAGACGAAATAAACTTCCTGGAGACGCTGGCAGAAACTTCCTAAGGTTTATAATCTACCTGAAGAAAGTCGGAAGCCAGAGCACTTACGGAACAGTTGAAAGAAACAAGGACATAATTCCAGAAGAAAATTTCTGCGGGATGTTCTTATGATCTAGAAAATTTTCCTGATATTCATAAAACATCCCTGAAAACTCCGCAATTTTCCTGAAGTTTTCGGAACATTCCTGAAATGCACTTAGGAAAAAAAAATCCTTAAAAGTTCTTGTAATTTTCCTGAAAATAGGGGCTGTTTAGGAGTTCTCTGGTCATCCTTGGAGTGCTCGGAACTTCCCTGATTATAAAAAGACTACCGGGATATTTCTAATCATCTTTGAAGGTCTCTGGACTATCTTGAAGATTACGAAATCCTTAAGTGCTCTCACAATTTTCTTGAATTTATTGTAACATTGAAGTACTCTGATCTTCCCGATTTTTTTTTTAATTTTTAAAAGTTATCGACACTGCTATTAAAAAGCATAGAAATTCCCATAAAATGTTCTCACAATGTTCTAATGTTCATGTAACATCCCTTACGTTTCCTAAATTTGCATGAGCCCCCCAGGACATTGCTGAAGATTTTGGAAATTACCTGAGTTTCTCGGAACTCCTTTATAATTTCAGCAATTTTATTAATTAATTGATCTGTCCTGATGTTCTCTGAGCTTCACTAAAGTTCCTGAAAATCATTAAATTTTTCTGAAGTTCTTTGGACTTGTGAAGTTTCTAAAATATGTATAATGTTTCCTCAAGTTCACTGGAGTTTGCTGGACTTTTCTAAAATTCCCGGGTTTTCGAATTTTAACAGAAGTAAATGAAGCTGTCTTTAATTTATCGAAACATACACAAAAGTCTGAACTTTTCTGAAGTTTCAGAACTTCTTAAATGTGCCTGCAACTAGTGTGGATTCGCAATAAAAAACTGATAGCATCCTTGAAATTCCGGGAAAGTTGAAAAAACTGGCGGGAGAAGATGAAAGAATCATTCGAGCTGAAGAAGCTTCCAAGGTAAGGTGGAAGAAAATTCCAAGGAAAGTTAGATGAAACATCCGGAAGTTGTTTGTTTAAAAAATATTTCTCGATTCCCTAGGAATTACCGGAAAGAGCCATCGACTATTTCTCGATTGATGGGTGGCCAAAAACGGCGAGGAAATGCAAGCATAAGGCATATTTAGAGATGATTGATTAGCCTCATTCGGATTCTTTGACAACTCCATGTATGCCAGTCCAGTCTTGACTGAGCGCACCAGCCTTTCCCATATGCCTCCCATATGTGGCGCGTAAAGAGGGTTGAGCTTCCACTGAGTGTCTACGTTCGTGAACGTCCCCGATAGATCCCGATTGATGCCACTGATCTGCTGCCTTAGCTCCGTACTAGGGCCTTGGAAATTGGTTCCTTGATCTGAGTAGACTTCCTGTGGTGCACCTCGGTGGGCAATGAACCTGCGTATTGCCATCTTGCAGGGTTCGGAAGACAGAGTGTAGTCGATTTCTAAGTGGACTGCTCGGGTTCCTTGGCAGGTGAAGAGCGCTACCCAGCTTTTGACACCACCACGGCCAAAGTGAACAGTGATCGGACCGAAATAGTCCTTCGGTGGGATTTGTGGTTTCGATTTGTAGACTCTACAGCAGTTACAGCAACTTGCCACCTTCTTGACGACTGTTCACAGTTCTGAGATGTGGAACTTCTGCCGCATTTCGTTCACCACCGTTTCGTTGTTCGCGTTTCCATACTTCTTGTGATACCAGTTAATAACTAGCTGCATGACGTAGTGATCCTTCGGCAAGATCACGGGAAACTTGGCTTCATCTAAAACACACTCTGCGGCAGCTATGCATGATCCCATTCGCATGACTCCAGTTGGGTCTAGAAACGGAGATAGTTTGAATATCCGACTGCTCTTCTGGATACGTTTACGTTGGTCTAGCTGCACTTGGTGATTTTTCCGCAGAATTTTGTATTCAGTCGCTTGGATCAGCTTAAACACGGTCGACTCCGCTTGTTCACACTCCTCACTGCTCAAGGTTTCTCCGTCCTTCTTTGATTCGTCCCTGCAGCCAAACCGTAGAACGAATGCTACTGTGGGATAACCTTTCCCACATTGAAAACCGTTCGAACTCGATGACTGGCTGCGTCGGTGGCAACTGGTGCACATGGACCATCCTTAATTCTTCGGCTGTTGTCGACTCGAGCGCTTCCTCTGGCCAGCTACACTCCGGCTTATACAGGAACTCTGGGGCCACCTGCTCTGCTCTTCGAAACATGGTCCATGACCCCACTTGGTTGCTTCATCGGCTACGTTTATTCTCGTGGGCACCTTCTTTCAATCGCTGACCTCCGTTTGGTTTTTGCAGACACGAGACTGCAGCGTATTTTGGCACCATCTACTACCGGAAGTAGGCTGCGGCGGCGTATGCAGTACTGCTAGCCGGGAAAGTAGCATCTGGGTATCTTCACCATATCCAGTGTTCCAAGTAATTTAACATACTGCTCCCACCGGGGTACGATATCTGCAGGTAGCGGCTCATCTCAGCCAATTCCGGATCGCCACGCTTCCTGAACTAGAATCTTTCCATGAACTACGAAGGGAGCGATCATCCCTAATGGATCGAACACACTCATGACTAAGCTCAGGACTTGGCGTTTGGTCGGCACAACGGATCCATCCATTAGACGTTGCAGATCCTCCCGGAAAGTCATCGAGAATACGAAGACATCCTCTTGTGGCCGCCACACCATCCCCAATACCCGTTCCAGGTTGCTACCCTTGTCCATGGTGAAACTCCTCACCGACTTCGTGTTCTTCTCCCCAATCCGCTGCAGCACCTCTGGAGGGTTCTTGGTTGATTTAATGGCTGCTATCAACTCATCAGCCGATATTCTACTTTCTACAGGGACAACTACGGAGGTGGCAGAGACTCTAGATATTGCCTCCGATACTACCGGCTCGTGGGGACTCACCATGGCTTGATCAAGGTTATGTGAATTCACAAAGTGTTGACCAAGTGCATTGGCCTTTTCAACTGGGGTTATGAGTTTTGATTATGAGGGGGAAAATGAGGGGTGGGCGTCGGCTTATTTTTTAAAATCTTTGCCATTTTCCAGAATGTCTTAGCACAATCTGGGAGAGAGCGAATCTTGTTTGCCAAATCGTTATTGGATGATTTTGTTCAAACGGTTGCAATTGGTCTTCAGGTTAGGCAGCCCAGTACGAATCGTATTGCGGTGTCTAATGAGATCTTTAGTGGGCCTGTCAAGGTTCAGAGTATAACTCACCTGTCTGGATACTGGCACATGTAACTCCTTGGCCCGGGAAATCGCATCATCGAAGGAGCGCAGACACCCGTCGATGTCGTCGGTGAACGGTCCGAGCTGAGTTCCTGGTAGGTGATAGGTTGAGCGATGTTGTTGCCCATGTTGCTGGTGAAGATATCGATAGTAGCGTGAACACCAAACCGACTCAACCGGGTGGGAGTGTGTGGATTCAAGATGTTGTACTGTGCTTCCTGCAGGTCGTTGTTCAGGATGGTGCCGTTTTGTTGTTTTAAGCTTGATGTTTGGCGTTCATGTCGCCAGCGATGATGCATTTTTGCCGCAGCCGAGTCAGCTTGATGATATCTCGTCGAAGGACCGCTGCCGTACCATCCCTGCTGTTGACTTGTCTGGGCTAGAGATGAACTAGCCTAAGGCTACAAATCTCTTTAATAAAGCTTAAAAAAAAACTTGTCTGGGCAGTAAGCCGCAATTATGTTGATGGGGCCAAGCGATGTGCTGACCTCAACTCCGATGGTTTCGATAATGTAAAGTTGGAAGTTCGGCAGCAAGTGGAAATTACATGTTGCGCCTCACAGCAACGGCTACTCTCCCTCCTCTTGCACTGGTTCTGTTGAGTCTCAAGAGCAAAAAGTCCGATAGGTAGATGTTTACTTCCGGCTGGGTTTCGATGATGATTGCAATTTCGATCTCCTTGGCGTTAAGGAAGTTCGATATGCTTGTTCTTCAGCGAACAAGCGTTCTAATTTTCAATCTGTTTAACTTCACGGTCCATACTTAGTGGCGAGGGACAGGGCAGCATGAAGCTGTTCAGATCGGATCCTGCAAGTTAGCATGATGATGATGACCTCTGCCACGAGTGTCACAAATTTCTTCGAGTTAAACGGGTATCGTTAACGGACTCCTGGAGGGACCTTGGTTGGGTTGGGTCGCTGCTGAAGCGAGGTGATGCGGGGGGCCGCTTGCTCTATTGCGGGGGTGCTAAGGGCTCGTTGATTGTTGATGGGAAGTGGTGCTAGGTTAGGGACCAGTCGACGGGGTGGGAGTGCAGGGTGATCAGTGTTGGCGTGCGATTGTTGCGGTGGTCTGGTTGCCTGTTGCCACCTTTTGACGAATATGAATGAATTCCACTTACTTCAGGCAGTCACAAGTGGAGGAACGGTGGTTTCTACCGCAGTTGGCACACTTCGGCTCGTTGTCATCAGCTTGACCATACGACGCTGTCACGTGAGTCCCTGCACACTTGTCACATCGTGGCTTCATATGGCAATTTTTCGTGCCATGGCCGTAAGAGAGGCAGTTCATGCACAGCGTTTTGTTGAGGTCTGTACGACTGCCAAAAAATCAGTCCGCATCGTGCTCTCTTGCCGTGCGGATCTATTTGCTTTTTGCTGAAGGAAGTGTTACTACTACCTAAAGCTACAACAAATTTAAACAGCACTTTTCAGTGCTCAACCTGTAAAAAAAAAAAAAAAAAAAAATTCTACCTTGTTCAACTCTTATTCCTCTTCGATCCTTGTTTGGACCCTACCCGAGGTAATCCTTCTTGGATATCGATTTGGAAAATTCCTCTTCGATCCTTCAGATTCTTATAGTAATCTGCTTGGAAGTCGATTTGGATAAAAATTTACTGCCGCCATGGCGCCTAAACGCAAAAGAAAGGGGCAAACTCTTGACCCCCCTTCTGATGAAATTAATTTGAGTAATCAATTTGATTTGCTCACGGATGATGAGAATGATCCATCATCCAAGAAAAATTCTAGTAAACTTTCCCGGCTTAATGCCAAGAAGGAAAAGATTCCCCCTATTGTGATAACCACTACCGATTTCCATGCTCTTCGCATGGAACTTTTGAATTTCGTGAAAGTTAAGTTTTCACTACAAATTGGACGTCGGGGTGAATGCCGTGTATTGGCTGAAACCTTGGACGGATTTAAATGTCTTCTCAAGTATCTTACTGAGAAGAAGCACAAATTTTTTACTTACGACACCAAAACTGAACGTGTGTTCAAGGTTGTCATGAAAGGACTGCCCAGTGGTGAATCCCTGGATCAGATCAAAGATGAACTGGCAAAATTACTTGGAGTTGTGCCACTCCAAGTAATCAAAATGAAAATGAAATCCCGTCCTGGCGATTCGCGCAACGGGATTTCTAATGATTTTTATTTAGTTCACTTCAAGTCTAGTGAACTAAACAACCTTAAGGCCTTAGAAAAAGCTAGCCTTATGCTCCATGTCCGAGTGAAGTGGGAACACTTCAGGAAGACTGGAGGAAATTTCCAAAACCTCACCCAGTGCCGTAAGTGCCAGGGATGGGGTCACGGAACTAAAAATTGCTACATGCCAGCTAAATGCATGAATTGTGGTGATTCCTCTCACGCAAAGGACGACTGTCCTGTGAAGGAAGATCCTAAGAAATTTAAATGTTCAAATTGTGGTGAAAACCACAAATCCAATTTTTGGGAATGTAAGACTCGCAAAGCGATCCTACAATCTCGTTCTAACCGTCAGGTAGGAAACGCTCCACGTTTCCGACCAGGTACAAATTCCTCTGCTGTTAACAACGGTCAGCGAGGAACAAATTCTACATTCGTACCCGTAGGTACAAATATCTCCCCTGCTTCAAATGTTTCATCTGTACCTACTCCCCTCGCTGCTAACAATGTTCAGCGAGTTAATGGAGCTACCTATGCTGCTATTGCAGCGGGTAGAAATCAAAATACTAACCAACGTTCTAATGGAAATTTTGACAATTTTGACTTAGGAAGCATTACTGCCCCCAAAATGGAATTTTTACAGAATTCATTAATTGACATGATTTCTGATATGCTTAAATCTAACTCCATGTTTGATGCTATTCAAACTGGAGTAAAATTTGCAAATAATATTGTCATGACTTTAAAATTCAGTAATGGATTTTAAAGAATTAAATATTGTAAATTGGAATGCTCGATCTCTTAAAGATAATGAAGACGAGCTATTTAACTTTTTAAGAGTTCATAACGTGCATATTGCCGTTATAACTGAAACGTTCCTTAAACCTGCCCATAAGGTTAAGAAGGACGCAAATTACTTGATTTATAGAAATGATCGTCTTGATGGACCCTGTGGTGGCGTTGCCATCATTATTCATAGACGAATCAAACATAAAATTCTTTCTTCATTTGAAACCAAAGTTTTTGAAACTTTGGGGGTTTCTGTTGAAACAAAATTTGGACAACTTACGTTTATAGCTGCCTATTTGCCATTCCAATGCGTAGGCCAGCAAAAGAATTTTCTCAAGGGTGACCTCCAGAAACTTACCCGTCATAGGTCTAAATTCTTCATTATTGGTGATTTTAATGCAAAACACCGCTCATGGAATAATGCTCAAAGCAATTCCAATGGTAATATTCTGTTTGATGATTGTTCTGCAGGTTATTACACTATTCAATATCCAAACAGCCCAACATGCTTTTCTTCTGCAAGAAATCCCTCCACTATTGATTTGGTCTTAACTGATTCATGTCAACTTTGTAGCCAATTGGTTACCCATGCTGACTTCGGTTCTGATCACCTTCCAGTAACTTTTGAAATATCCCAAGAAATAATTTGTAATCCCAACAGCTCTACTTTCAATTACCATAGAGCTGATTGGGAGCAGTATCGAACATTTATGGAATATAACTTCGATCCAAACATTCCTTTGCAAACCAAAGATGAAATTAATTATGCTCTTGAATCTCTGACTACTTCTATAGTTGAAGCAAGAGCTGCCTCAGTACCAAAATGCGAGGTTAAATTCGATTCAATTATAATAGACGATGATCTTCAGCTCTTGATCCGTCTTAAAAATGTCCGTAGGAGACAATATCAAAGAACACGCGATCCTGCCATGAAAGTTATCTGGCGGGATTTGCAAAAACAAATTAAAAAGCGATTCTCTGCCCTGAGGAACAAAACTTTTGAAAATAATATTTCTAAATTAGACCCGAGTTCCAAACCCTTTTGG